AATAAACTCAAATGAGACAAAAGTGAAACCCTAGAGAATTTAGTGGTTAGGAATTCAAATTCTCATTAGGTCATTAGGTCTGAAACAACAGTATTATTACTATCATGACAAAGATAAACTATAAGCACTTTCTTAAGGGTAGGAATTTACATAAAGTAATTTACATAAAACCAATCCTTTGCATTTTAAGGCCAGGGTTAAACTCTTCCTTTGCATTTTAAGGCCAGGGTTAAACTCTTTACCTACTGGAATAATTGAGGAATGAGGTTTAAGGAACTTGCCCAAATTTAGAAAGCTTACCTACACCAAGTTACTATAATGAGTTCTGATAAGGCAAACATTTAACAAAATTTGTTGTATAATGTTACTAGAAAAGTAGGCCAGAAACTTGAACATTTTCAAATGAGTTACAATACTATACACAATAACTATGAGGGTGGAAAAGCTTAAAATATTCTTGGCACAAAAGGAAAAATACTATGAAGGCCTACTTATAAGAAGAAAAAACTAATAATAATTGTTACAGAAAAAGTTTATAATCTGAAAGAAAAAGTATCCAGAATAAGTCAGAGCCTGTGAGATGGCTTAGCAGACTTACTAACAAGCCTGAGAATTGAGTTCAAGCCCCAGAACCCACATTTTAAAAAACCCAAAATCCAAAAACAAAACAAAACAAAATAGGATAAGATGTTCTGAGTTTGTAATCCCAGCACTCCTATGGAAAGAGGGAGGTGGAGACAGGAGATTCATCTGGAAACTCCAGCTGGCCTGGAGTATACAATGCAGCAACAGAAACAAGACCCAACCTCAACAAGGGAGAAGGCAAGAACTGAAGTTGTTCTCTGGCGTCCATGTATACGCTCTGGCATGCATATACACCTGCACTCACATACACAAATACGTACAAAATAAATTTTTAAAATAGCATTTAAGAAAGAATAAGATAGAGCCAGGTAGATCTCTGTGAGTTCAAGGCTAGCTTGGTCTACATAGTGAGTTCCAGGCCAAATGGGGCTACAGGGAGACCCTGTCTCAAAAAGACAAAAAAAAAAAAAAAAAAAAAAAAAAAAAAAGAATAATTAAGTCGTGTGAATACATTTTGCTCAGAAATACGGGCAGATGCGGTCTTAGAAGATGAGCCAGGTTTAGACAAACAGAAGGGAAATTACACAAAGTGCTGTAAAGGGGCTTAGAAAGATGGCTCAGACATTAAGAGCACATACTGCTCACGCACAGGACCTGAGTTTGGTTCCCAGCAAGCATGTCCAGGTAGCTCACAAACAACTGTAAACCCAATTCCAGGGGATCCAATACTCTCTTCTGGCCTCCACAGGCATCTGAACTAACATGTATATACCCCTACGCAGAGATACACATAATTAGAAATAAATCTATTTAAAATATTTAGAAAGTGGGGCTGGAAAGATGGCTCAGTGGTTAAGAGGACTGGCTGCTCTTGCAGACTCCCTGGATTGGGGTCCCAGCACCCACATGGCAGCTAACAACCGTTTGTTTCAGGGGATTTGATGCCCTTTTCTGACCTCCACAGGCACTGAACCATACGGGTTCACTTACGAACATACAGGCAATACACTCATACATATAAAACAAGAAAAATTAAATGTTATAGAATGTTAGAAAGAATACACAGAGATTTAAAAACTATAATGGTGATACTCAACATACCTGGAGATGGGGGCTAGAAAAGGTGGTAAGAATAGGGTTCAAGGCTGGGTGTGGTGCTACACACCTTTAATCCCAACACTCAGGAGGCAGAGGCAGGTGGATCTCTGGAGTTCCAGGCCAGCTGGGGCTACAGGAAAACCATTCCTCAAAAAGAGAAAAACAAACAAACAAACAAAAACAAAACACCCAGGGCTCAAGAGTATACATGTATTAAAAACCTATCAAAATAGAAGATTTTTATAAAATTGACCAGGAAGAACTCTAAGAACAACATAGTAGTGTGTAGATCAGGATACACTAGTTCCATGTCTCTTGTCTTTGTTCCTTTTCCACTTCCTTTCTTGACATTAAACGTAAAGCAACAAACACTGTGTCAGTACCTCATTTCCTGAGTCTAGTGGTCTCTTCTTCCTTGGTCCAATAGCTGCAAGAGCTGTGAGATTGGCATCTCTGTGCTGCATCTGGGCAAGCTCCAATTGCTGTAACTAGAAGATGAGGAAAAAGAAAGTTACACAGATGCTCAGATCCCCAAATACAGAGCTGTACTATGCCATGTGGTTTACACATTATTATAGTATAAAATAAATATTAGATTAAGGGCATGTTTATTGGTGTCTTGACTCCACTAATCCACAGACTTCTTTAATCTATGAACAGAAGAGACAGGAAGGGGAAGTACAAGCAGCAGCAGAAGACAAGAAAGGCATTAGGCATAATTTCTTCCTAGTTTAAATATAAGTAAGAAAAGCCTGCAGAGCCAGGTGTGGTGGCCACGCCTTTAAAGCCAGTACTCAGGAAGCAAAGGTAGGCAGATCTCTGTGCTATAGAGGCCAGCCTTGTCCACATAGCGGAGGCTACAGGGAGACCCTGTCTCAATACCCCCACCCAAAAAAAAGAAGAAATGCCTAGAGAAAAACTTGAACAGCAAGTTGGAAAGAGATTGGCCAAACCAGTTATCCTGTTCAGATTAAAAGAAAATCAGCAGCTTTTTCACATTACAGAACAGAGTTGTACTATGCCATATGGTTTACACATTACTCTTGTTAACTCTCACAGCCACACTGAAAGGGTATTATTCATCGACTGCTCTAACAGAGAAATTACACAGCGAGGCTCTAAGAGTTTGGGACAACTTCATAAAATCACACAAATAAGTGATAGAAACAGCGGTCAGAGCCAAATGTTCTCATTACAAACATTTGCAAATAGAAATCATGGACTCTGTTTCTTCATGGCAAAAATGGAAAGTGATGTAGATCTCTGTCTGGAATGAGTAAAGCTACCAGGTACAATTTTTCAGTCTTTGGGCAACAGTACAGAGGAATGTCCATGAAATATGTCTCATGAAAAAGCATTTCATCAAAGAAGTGTGAAAAAATATTTATATGCTGTTACAGAGACAAAGTAAAAATAAAAGGGCATTGCACAGGCCCTTCAGTTCTTCTAGAAGAGCAAATGTTCAGTTTTCATCAGAGTCTTACTACAGAAGACAAAGAGGGAAGCTGTTGATGCTGAATGAGATTCAGATACTTAAACTGGATCAAGTCAGTTAGCTGAGAGAGAGATTCACTGGAAAGATTCTTTCAAAAGAGCACTATAAAAATTTCAAACACAGGCTATTAAAAAAGAGCAGGATGAATAGGACGAAAATACTTTGTACAGTGAAGTGATCAGTCTCAAGGAGTTACTATGGAATAAAAAGACATGTACTTGAGAGGTTGAGGAAAGATAGGGAAGTTCGGGGCTAGACTGGTCTACACACAGCCTATTCTTCAAAATGGGACAAAAAACAGGAGGAGGAATGCAGGCATCTCATTTCATCACTTCAGTCTGTATCATTTATGTTTATATTATAGACATAATGGAAAAGACAGTAAGTCACAGGTGAGCCTTTAGTAAAATCTGAAGCAAGAGCTGTATAATTGTGTTGTGTCTGCCCTCTTAACCCCCAAGATGACAATCCTTTGGGGAAATTAGGTCAGGGGGCAGGGTGAAGCACTCAAAAATGGGATTAGTGCCCTCATGAAGGAAAAGAGACTCCTATCTTTCTACTATGTGAAAACACAAGGTCCTCATCAGACACCAAATCAGCCTGCATCTTAATCTTAAGACTTCCTAGCTTCCAGAACCATAGAAAATAAAATCTTATTGAATACAAGCCTACCACCGTAAGGTATTGATATACCAGCATAATCATATTTAGACAACTATTAATCAAAGAAAGCAAACAAAGAACCATTTTCTATTTGCTCCACAAACTACAGGACAGGAATCCTTCTTTCAAAGTCGGTTTTCTTATAAACAAATTGTTAGAAAAATGTTTTCAGATGTGTAAAGTTTTTTGTTGCTGGCCTTTTTAATAAAAACCATAGTTAACAGTCTGTTACTGCCACAATCCAGAACTTCCAGGTGACAAAAAGACCAATTTTACTTAATCTACCCTGCAGCACAAATCAAATAAAAATATTTTAAAGCCCTTCCCTGTAGAGATATGCTATCTTCAAGACAATTATATCAAATAAAAGGTTTTTTAACTGATTGTACAAATAAAACTTGGGTTCTCTGACCTTCACATATAATTTTTCAGCAAATTTTGAAAAATGAAAATTTAAACTGTCCAGTTTTAGTTGGCCATATAGTTACAACAAATTTTCTAAAAAAAAATGCTACCATAAAACAAAGAAACCAGACACAACCAGAAAAAGTGGGGGAGAAAAAAATGAGAAAAGCTAAAACACAAGAATTGTTTGATATCATGAATTTTAGGGTAACCTGGCCAACATGGAGAAACTTCTTTCAAAACAAAACAAAAAAACCTAGAGTATTAGAAGATTGAAAAAACCATTGCAAGTTTCAACAAAAATTTCTTGATTGTTATGATCATATAGCTTTCCCTTAGGAATATTCATGTCATAGAGTATATCAAATAGCAAAACCACTTAGCATTTCTAGGGTTGTTGCTACATGGTATGGGGTCCATTATTCTTTTAAATGTTATTAGATTTGATAGTGATTATGTTGTTGATGTCACCATGAAAGACACTGATTTGCTTTGTAGTATCCTTCTGGTTTGGGTTACCAAGGTTATGCTAGTCTCATTAAATGAACTGGAAATTTTCCTATTGCTTCTCTTTTCTGGAAGAGATTGTGTAAAAGCGGTATCAATTCTTTAGATATTTGGTAGAATTTACAAAGTAAAATAGCCTGCACTTGGGCAGTTAGTACTAATTCAATTTACTTAAGAATTATAGAACTACTGAGGTTATCTATTTCACCTTGGCCAAGACTGTATAGCTTGTGATTTTTGAGATTGTTAACTTCATGTAAATTGCCAAAGTCTATGCAGTTTTTATTATCTTTTCATCCTTCTGATACCTGCAGGGTAGGGTCTGTAGTAGTACACCCTACCTTTTATTCTTGATATCAATGGTGTGTCTATTTTCCTCTTAGACTTAGTAAATATTTAGCAATTTTACCAAACAAGCAGCTTTGGTTTCAGTGTATTTTCTCCATATTTCTAGCTGATTTCTCCTCCTTCATTTTGGTTTTTGTTTTGCTTTAGAGACAAGGTCTCCCTCTATAGCCCAGACTGTCCTAGAACTCACTGTGTAGTCCAAAACAGCCTTGAACTCGGCAATCTTCTGAATGCTGGGATTTCAAGACTCAGCTTACACACCTATTGAGGCCTTTCTTCTTTTCTAATATAATCATTTTCCCTATTTTTAAAGATTTTACACCAATTATGTCACTGCATTTGAATTCAGCCTTTTAAAAAATATATATGCACACATTTTTTTTTAATGTGCTCAGCCTTTTTTAAAAAAAAATGTATGCACACACATCTGTGCGCCTGCATGTGAAGTGCATGCAGGGGCCACAGGACAACACTGGGTGTTATCCTCAGGAACTAAACTAGCACTACTTCTTATGAGAGTTTCTCACTAGCTGGAACTCATCAGTAGGCTAGAAACTCACTAGCAGGCTAGCTAGCCCCAGCAATCCTCCTGTTGCCACCTCCCCAGTCCTAGAATTACAAGTGCCTGCTATCATGCCTGGCTTTTATTTTTTTTTGTCTTTTTTAAATTTTTTTTTGTCTCCCTGTAGCCCCAGCTGTCCTGGAACTCACTAGGTAGACCAGGCTTGCCTTGAACTCACAGAGATCTGCCTGCCTCTGCTGGGATTAAAGGCCTGCGCCACCACAAGTATGCAAGTATGCAAGTATGCCTCACATTTTTACATGGGTTCTAGGGATCAAACTCCCCGTGCTTACAAGGTAAGCCTTTCACTGAATGAGCTATCTCTTCAACTCATATTTGAATTGAGTTTCTTATAGACAGATATATTCATAGCTTTTTCACCCATTCTGACAGTCTCTAAATATTCTGAATTATACACTGAATATTCTGAAAATTAGGAGACTGTATCATCTTTAAATTCTTTAACTATTGGTATTTCTGTGTTCCCATATAGTTGACAGGTTCAGAGCACAGGTTCCAATGTGACTTCTGTTGTTTGTGGCTCCAAAGTCAGTTCCATTTTCAAGTTTTTGCAATGCCATGTGGCTCTGTCCCCACTGTGCATCATTCAGTCTGGGACCTGATCGGGTTGTTGGATGGTTCAGTTCTTACAGTCTTCAGTACACTCATCAGAATCAGCTATACCTATGACAGATGTGTAGCTAAGGAGGGGGCCTAAAGTTTTATAACAAGGCCAAGAGGTTGCTTCCCCAGCTTCTCTAGCCTCCTAGTAACTTGGGGTTCCTTGGAGCTGCCTTTTGGTTATGTCCACTTGTGGATAAAGTCACGGGGTGGGGGGTGAAGGAGGGAGGGCAAAAGGACGGCAAACTCACCACAGGTTTAGCAGTCTTCTGAATTCTCACAATCCCCATGTGCTCACTGTTTACTTTTCAAGACCCTCCATGCTTTCCACCCAGGTTTTATAGATATACTCAGTAGAGAGATGGTACAGTGTATTAACTCATAACTGGCATCCTTTAAAATGGAGTTTAGAACTCTTAACAATAGGTTTCTGTTATAACTAGCCTCAGTGTGATAAAATATAAACCTGCATGCTACTCTGCACCACCAATATACACTTTGTTTCAAATGAATTCTCTTTAATAGTCTCACTCCTTCCTTCACAGCAAATGGACACCCAGAAAGAAACGTGCATTCCTCTTATCATTGCTTCTCTGCAGCCGAGGTCCACAAAAGGTCAAGTCCGTGTCTGAGGAAGCAACAGAGCAAGACTGAATGCTTTCACTCCTGTTCAGTTCCTGTCTCTTTATTTTTAAGCACAATTCTTAGAAATATAGCATCTAATCAGTCCCCACAGACAAAGCTCAAAGATTACATTATAGATCATACAAGCTCTTGCAGGTAATGTTCAGAGATAATTCTTAATGTTAAGCTCATAATTTTCAGGAACGAAGATAAAGTTAATGAAAACATAAACCAAAAAAACTAGATAGAATCAGGAGCTACAT